CTTGGACCCTCCCGGTTCCGGGAGAGGCCGCCCCGGTGACACCGGACCGGGGGTCTGCCAGCCCTTCCCATCACCGGTGTCCCCGTAGCGGATTTGGAGTTTCCACCTTCCCCTCTTACGGTGCTGAATGTTCCGTGGGGAGCGGGTGTTGTAACGGGAAATTGAGCTCGGAAAATCAATTGGATAAACCCGTGGAGGATAAACCCGCGTGGTGGAGCGGCCGGTGCTGCCCGAGATGTGCGGGCGCTGATCCCCGGGGCTTTGCCCCATCCTGGGCTTGTGACCGCACCAGAATCGTGTGAATGGGGGAAAAAAGGGGCACAAGGGGTTTAGGGCAGGGACAGGCTCTGCTTTGGAGCCGGGTGAATCCTGCTGAGGAGGGCAGCGACTCCCGCCTGGCAGCGCAGGACCCGTCCCTGCCCCCAATCCCTCCCTCCCTTCCATCTCTCGCCGTTTAGCAAACCTCAAGCACAGCTAATGAGAGCACGAACCCAAATAAGCGTCACAAGAGGCTGGTTTGCAGAGGCGGAAATTGCAAAGAAATCACTCACAAAAAAAAAAAAAAAAAAAAAAAAAAAAAAAGAAAAAAAAAAGAAAAAAAATTTCTAACTGATTCGCTGGTGGGTCACGGAACAAACAGGCTTTTGAGTCAGAGGGAGCAGTGCCAGACCCAAGGGCTGGGGCAAGTGCCCTGTGCTCCAGCCACTGGCTCAGATGCTCCTTGCAGAGGCTGTGGGTGTCGGGCTCCCGTGTCAGGGAACAGTTCCATCCCTCTGTGGGGCCACTGGCACATGCCAGGAGATGCCAGGAGATCCCATCCAGCCCTCACAGCAGCCACCCACTGACAGGAGCCAGCCAGAGTATCTCTGGGTTCCCCAGTTTGTCTCAGGCTCTGGAGTGATCCCTGTGCCTCTCTGTCTGGGACCCCCTCGCTGTGGGGCCAGGCAGGAATTGGGCACAGAGGCAAGGGAGAGGAAGACCACAAGCCCAGATCCTGGCTGGCAAGCTGGGCATCTCCCAGAGCATCCATCACGGGGAGTGCTGGGATAACTGGTCCATCCCTGTGGTCCAAATGCTGGATTTGGATTCTGTTGGCAGGAGAGGGCTGGCAGCAGCATTGGGGTGGCCATGGGGGCACTGAGTAGCTATGCCAGGGACCCTTGGGGATGCCTGCTCTGGGACAGACCTTGTGCCAGCACAGAGCATCTCTACATTCCCCAATTTGTCCCAGGTATTGGAGTGATCCCTGTGCCTCTGCTCCAACCACAGCCAGGATCTCTCTGCCCTTCTCAGGGGTCCTGGCACAGCAGGAATTCCTCACCCTCTGCAGGGATCCCTCACCCTCTGCCTTTTTCAGGGGTCCTGGCAGCACAGGGGTCCTTCACCCTCTGCCCTTCTCTGGGGTCCCTCACCCTCTGCCTTTTTCAGGGTCCTGGCAGCACAGGGATCCCTCACCCTCTGCCCTTCTCAGGGGTCCTGGCAGCACAGGGATCCCTCACCCTCTGCCCTTCTCTGGGGTCCCTCACCCTCTGCCTTTTTCAGGGATCCTGGCACAGCAGGAATTCCTCACCCTCTGCCCTTCTCAGGGGTCCTGGCAGCACAGGGATCCCTCACTCTCTGCCCTCTCCACAGGTGGAATCTGCTGGCTGCAGCAGGGCAAGGAGGCCAAGTGCACCATGATCCTCAAGACAGGCGTGACGTGGGAGGAATGCTGTGCCAACGGCAACGTGGACGTGGCCTGGTCCAACTACACCTACCCAGGCAACAAGATCAGCCTGCTGGGCTTCCTGGGGCTGGTCACCTGCCACCCCTGCAAAGGTGACGAGCTCGGGGGCTGCTGTGGGGAATGTGAGGAGCCCTGGGGGCAATAATGCAGCTGAGGGTGATGCAGCAGCGCAGAACCTTCACCAGAAAAGCTCTCCTTGGTGGTCTGGGGCAGCACAGGGACCCCAGGGAGTGCTGACCCCATGCTCCTGCTGCTGCAGCTCCTGCTTGGATGCTGCTGTGGAGCAGGGCTGGCGGGACAGCCTGTGTCCCTCAGCTGCTCCCTGGTTTTGAGTGTATTTTAGTTGCTCTCCCAGCGGAGAGAGGGATGCATGACCCAGGTCTTGGCCGGGCAGCCAAGTGCAGGGAGAGGATCTGGAGCTGGCTGTTCCCGAGTTAACCCCTCTGTGCTGGGGCCTCCCTTCCCTGCTCACAAGGAAACTTGGTCAGGTTTTTTTCTGAAGGGGAAAAAAAAAAGATCCATTTCTCCTTCCCCTCGGCTGCCCCTCGCTCCTCCCAGCGCGTGTGTGAAATGGCTTTATGTAACGGGCAGTTCCACAAGTGGAAACTCTCCAGCTGTGAGTTCCAGCCCCGCCAGATGTTTTGGCGTGTGCCGGAGCCGTGGCTCCTCCAGCCCTTGCGTGGCTGTGTGAGAACAGCTCCAGGACCTGCTGCCCGCAGGAGGCAGGAGCAGGGCTTGGGAAGGTCATGTTGTTATTTGCTTAAAGGGGAAAAAAAAAAGGTTTTTAACCAAACCACTTCCCCCTGCTCCCCACACCGCTCAGCACTGCTGCACTGGCAGCTCCTCAAGCCCATCCTGCTGCTCACTGTGCCAGCTAAAAGCTGAGTGAGATCTTGGCCCCATCCCCATCCTGCTTGGAGGGAGTTGGGAGCACTGGGACCCTCTCCAGGGGCTCCCCTGTGCTGGAGAAAAAGTGTATGAGGACAGGCAGCCCTCAACCATCAGTCTGCACTCACCTCACTTATCTCTGTTGGTGTCTGGGGGACTCAGAGAGGGCTGAGAGTGGCCACAGACC